TCCGGGTGGGTTCGCTCCTTGCTTTGCCTTAATCTTTTATTGAGTCCAAAGCTTAGCGCTGTGGCAGGCCTTGGAACCAAGTGGAGAGGAGCCTGGGCCTCTCCCTCTCCAGTCAGTTCCCCCCCCTCCCAAAGAGTGAGCCTGTCTCCTCCTCTTTCTTCATCGGATTTCCCCGCTTGTTTGGTGCCGTGAGGAGTCCTGACCACAGAGTCAGCAGTTTGAAACCACCAGCCGCTCCTCAGGAGAAAGACAGGGCTTTCTATGCCTGTAGAGTTACAGTCCGGGACACCCCCAGGGCAGTTCTACCCTAGGGTCACTATGAGTCGGAACTAACTCGATGGCAGTGAGTTTGATTTTGAGTCTGGGGTCCACCCATGTATCACCACAGGGTGCCAGAATGACTTTACTAGAAAAACAGGCCCGATGGTGTCCCAGCCGTGTGTAGGAATGTCTGACAACTCACCATTCTGGCCAGGCAAGGCCTTCGTGCTCCGACTTGGGCCTCTCTGTGGTCCCGTCACAGCGTGGACTGCAGACTTAACCAACCTCCCTACACTTCTCAGACCACCGTCTCCGCGTCCAGGGCCTTTATGGAGGCTCTTTGCTACCCCGGCACGTGTTTCCCTTCCTTCGACACCTGGGGAGGCTTCCAGGCGCAGCTCAAATGTTAGATTTTTGTGAAACCTTCCCTCATCTACTTCCAGGTAGGTTTTAGCTGCACCCCCTGCATCCTGTTTCCCCTTTATACAATGCACTTGTCTTTATAACTCTCTCTTTAGACCATGAGCTAATTTTAAGGGTTTCATAATTTACCTGTTTCCAAAGTCCATTTAAGTATGGTCCAGTATAGATGTGTAGGCTTGCCTAATTGCACGTAAAGGTTCCGAATAGTCTAAGGTGACCAGATTTTAACATTGGTAAAGCGGGACACCATTGATAAAACTAATATCCTGGCAAAATAGCCACATGACAGCTGAAAACCATATACCCTAGCTTGTTGTGCATTCTTTCAAAAAATCGGGACTTTTTAAAAACGCCACAGGACACGGGAAAAATTGTTAAAAATCGGGACAGGACAGTTAACCAGTCCCGGGTTCCTCTCAAGCTACTCCAAATTTGCCCATCTTCCTCTGTGGAAGCAGCACCTCTTTGGAAATTTTAAAAAAAATCATCTTGTTGGGGGCACATACAACCCTTATCACAATCCATACATACATCAATTGTGTAAAGCACATTTGTACAATCATTACCTTCATCGTTCTCAAAACATTTGCTCTCCAC